CTAAAATACTAAAACCAAATCATTAAAGTTTTAAAATAAAATACACACAAAGAAATTTTTATCTTTTAGATTTGTTTCTTTAACTGTCTTATTTGTTTTCTTTTTTGTTTTTATTATTGTAATTCGAAATGTCAAAAAAGTTTTTAATTTTGACCGCTAAATTAACTTGGCGCTCATATCGATTTGTGGAAAGTAAATTTTTTGTGTTGTATTTGAGTAAGAATTAAAAAAGAAACCAGTTTTTATTATCAGTTAATTTCAAAAATGTAATTGTTATATTGGTATACATATAACAGAATCCGTTTCAAATTTCCATGACTTTGAAATTGCTATAGTAGTGCATCTATGTTGATACACAGCTAAACAGTTTGAACTCGTAAAGCAAATTGTGTACAATAATAGCAAAATTCCTAACTGTCTAATTTATCAATCCAATCTAATTTATCACAAGTGTATAATATGTTTTTCAAGCATATACACTTTTTAAATCTAGAATTAGATTTTTATAATTTAGACAATAATGCACTGAACGTATTAATATTATTTTTTTTTTGTCCGAAAAGATAATTTAGAAGAAGTTGGATATAGAACAATTTATTAAAATATTATCACTGCATAATTTTCAAGTTAAAAACACATCTCCTGCTATTATGCAAATTTTAGAAAAAAAAATTCGTAGCTAAGTAAACTTGCTAAAGAATTGTCCTATTGTCGCATACAAAACTTTATCCAGCATTGTGACAAATTTTCTTCTTTATTTAAAATTTTGGCTATAATAGTTTTGTTTAATTTTCCCGGAAAAAATTTCGAATCGAATTAAAACTATTTTCATTATATGTTTTTACCTTTAACGATAAAATAAAAAATGGGAAAATCAATCTTTTCTGATGTTATTAGTTTTTTGAATTTATTCGTGGCATTTTATTCGTGTTTGTGGATCAGAATAATTGCAAAATGGCTTAATGGTATCTTTGAGGCTCGAACGTGCAACGTCGCTTTCAAATGCTCTTCTTTCTTTACACCTATTTGAAAAATATTTTTGCATATTTATTACAATATCATTTTATGTAATATCTTTTCAATTACATCCAAGTTTTAATAAACATTTTCTGAACATTTAACGAAAATAATAATTTTATAAAAAATATTGCATACTTACAGGAGAACCTTATTTAAGGAATTAGTCATGTACAATAAAGTAGTTTTATCGAATTCATTATTTTGCCCAAATTTTAAATTTCACAAAAATAAAAAACTTGTGGATTCTTAAGATTCTTCAACTTTACAATCTGGTGTTTTTAACTATCAAACTTTAATAGACTAACAGTTAAAGTGAAATAAATATAATAAACTTTTGTAACAATTTCAACGGTAGGGAATTGATTCTAACACTTTTTTCGAAGTACTGGAGGATAGCATACATCATGAATCATTTCCAGAATAAATTATAAATATAGCAAAAAAAATTCTTTTTAGTTATGCCACAAATTATGAGCAAAAAAATTAATAATACAGAATTTTCGATTTCATTGAACTGTTTATGAAGTACACTTATTACATCATCTTTATTCTTATGTCCTAAATTCTAAAAGCAAGTAAAAAATCCATTTGTGTCCATCAATAAATTACCATAAGTAAAGGCTACTAGTTGTTCTTAGATAATAACAACATGTTTCTTCCAAATATCAAATGTTTTTAATTTCTAACTCATAACCACTTCATAGTTTTAAGCAATATGTTCGCATTATTTAACCTTACCTGTCCAAATAAAATAATATTCATTCGTAACAAAAATGTAGATATATAAGAACTTCAACATACTTATTTTTTAAGAATAATGACGTGTAATGAAAGAAAAGAACACAGTGGTTTTCAATGCATTATAGAAATTTTCTTCTGTACAAAGAGCTGTATTTCATTATATACATAATATGATATTACCTGTCGTCCAAATAAAATATTTCTTATTCAAAGCATTGTGTTTAAAAGTTAAATAGCAAAATATAGCAAATAATTTCTCCCTTTCAACAATTCCTACTCAATAGCCATAGTAAATTTCTTTATTAATTACCACTGCAACATGCCTTAAATAAATTATTATGGTATTCAAATTTTGAATTATAAAGGCTCTTTGTTTTTATAAAGTTCAAATTAGAAACATATTTAGAACATTTTCTTACCAATTTGCGCATTCGATTAAACTTTCTTTGTCATAAGAGACTATTTAAAAAATATAATGTTCAACGTTAAAACTGAATAAATTAAATTGGAACTTTTAAGTTTTGTAGTTCTAACATTTAAAAATTTTGTTTTCATAAAAATGCATAATTTTACAATTACCATTCAATCCAATTTTTTTTTAAATTAATACGTAAATTTCACAAAATGTTAATATTTATTAATCACTATTGAAAGAAACATCTTTCATTAAAATTTTTCTAACGTGGTGATTTTTTGTTTAATAATCCTGTTAATTTGCATGATACAGGATTTATATAACAAATCAATTTCTTCACTTATTGTTGACTAAAATCAAATTGCATATCTTTAGCAATATTAAGTTGATTTGGTGTGCACAATTAATTACAAATGAGAGCCTTATACTGACCAGGTAAAAATACCAAATTGCTAATGCGAATATAACATGTAACAGTAACTGACCTTTCATAGTTTCGAAGAGTACCCAAAAAAAATGGAAATTCTTTTTTTTTTTTTTTAGTTAAAATTTAAAATTTTCTAGTTTAATTGTTTTATTTATAAATTATTTTATACTCATATGGTAATAATTATTTTTTTTTTCTATTATTTTTCATGTACATATTAATAATTTTCCTTATAAATTATTATGTTTGTGGATACCAGGCCATGGTACTTTTAAACAAAGGTTTTACTTTTTGTTTTTTCTGTTATAATGTACTTTTAAATAGTATGTATATATGGGAGTTGATTGTCTTTTAAAATATTCTCAGTGAATTTTTCTCAGCATTTTATAAATTCCATTGAAACGGAAAACAGAGATACAACCGTATAACAAATAATGCATTTTTATTGCCGGGAACATTGTACTATGGTTTTATTTTAACATTTTGCAAAGAATAATAGAAATTATGAATACTTTTTTTTTTTTTTTTAAATATAAATATGTAATTTTTTTAGTTCTCAGATAACTGACATTTTTTTTTTTCAACTCATTTTTCGCTTTCAATACATTAAATTACATTTATAGTAATAAGTTGACTGAGAGTGATGTGTGTGAGTATGAAAAATTATGCAATAATAGTAAATGAAATTTGTAATTGAAAATATTGTTAGTATACAAAATTAGTTTACAATAGCAAAAGTATTATAAAATAAATAAAACAATGTATGTACCCCATATGAAATCAAAAGTAAGTTTATAAGGAAACATATAAGATATATTTTTTATGTAGAAGCAACATATTCACATGAATTCGGTCACAGCCCTTTAGTGACGGAAAATTACATAACATTCATATATTATAGACTTAGTGTAAAAATGAATTTTTCATTTTATCTTAAGCATAATAATTATACATATATTTTATATATATATATATATATGTATATGCATAGAGCTACGTAATCTAATGAAATAAGTAACTAAATTTAAATATTATATATAATTAACAGCAAAAATAATAAAACAAACAATTGAAATAATTCTTATATTAAGCGAAATCGTATACCAAAAATGACATAAAACAGCGGTAACAGTAGCAGTCCTTATAAACAAACAAAAGTATATTATACAAAAATGTCACACGCCATAATAGTCAAAATTGAAAAATATTAAAATGTTCATTTTAATCAGTACGATTTTTTTTTCTTTCCCTATAATGCATAAATTTTTAATATTTTGTTTGTGGTTTTGAAGTTATAGGTACTTCTTTTAAGTGTTTATGATTTCTGCTTTTCTTATATTCAAAAAATGGCAAATAATTTCGGCTAGTGTTTCATTTTAGAAATAATTACATAATTTTTTTCTTTATCTTTTCGGCTTATAAAGTTACCACATCAAATATAATTTTAGAAATATAAAATTATCGCTGTTCTAACGAAAAACTAAATTGCTTAATTTTAAATCTTTTACAAAATCTATTGCAAAATTCATTGAATTTTTGCATTATTATTGTTGTAAAAAAAGATCTATTATGCTTTACAATCAGAACTCAAACTAGGTGTGAAACCCCCTCTAAACTCATACTCCTGATGAACTCAAATAACTTTAACGGCCCGGCAGATTGCAACTCCGCCGATGTGAGCTGTAGTTTCCCAGTATTTCCCTTCTTCTGTGGGTGAGGGAAATACTCAGTATTTCCCTTAATCTCCCAAAAGCTGTACAGATCTAAGTTACAATCCGCCCTATATTTAATTAATTATTAACTTAGACCTTTTTTGTAACTTGCTCACTTTTCACTCTAAGCCTAAAATTCTAAAATTCATTCTAAGCTCTTGCGTCACTTTTTTCTAAGCCTGAAATAATATCAAGTTTTGTGTATTGCTAATAATAGTTAATTAATAATAGACAAAATTTTGCCTCATAGATTTTTCTCATCTTTAATTTCATGCAGAATTATTACAATCCGGAAAAGTCTCCAAAAAAAAAAAAAAAACTTGCATTATTCAAAGAAAACTTTTTTGAATACTTTTTTTTGGTATTAACATTTTCGACTCTGTCTAAATTATCAAAAATAACTGAAAAATTAAAGAAGAATTAAAATTACTATTTTATGAAATTCAGTCACATATTTTCATATATATTTCTGTTTTTAATTAATTTGCTTATCAATTTATCAAAATTCAAAATTAACTATTTTCAATAGCTTTGAAAATTTTACATTATACTACATATTTTATATGTATGTATTTGAAATTCTATAGTGGAAAATCTAAAATTAAATTCTATAAAATCAAGTTCTAATTTAAATTGCTGAATAAATGAATATTGTTAAAAAATTTTACATTTAAATTTTAATTACCTAATTTTCTTCACCTAAAATCTGAACACTTCTTACTGGTTTCCTATAAGATGATAATGGTGCAGTGCTTTTCGTTGTAGTTGAAGTTGTGTCAGAATCTGTTAATGAATTTGAAACAGCAGGATTTGTTACGACCGCATTTGTTGCACTTTGTTCTGATTGTAAAGCAAGCATTAGCATTCTATATAAAAGTTCTTCTCTTACGTCAGATGGTAAATAATTTGTTTCTGTTGGGGAATTTTGTGCTGGTCCCGTTTCAAAATCATCTATTTGATTACTTTGTAATCCGAAGTATCTAGGTGTATATTGTTTTTTTCTTGGCATTAAACGTTGCAAATCGTATGGTGTTTGCGGTCCGCCTTCAGATTGATGTGGTATTTGATTTTGTGCTTGATACATATTTTCATGTTCTAAATATGGTGGAATCGGTAATGGCCTGTATGGAAATCTGCCATCATACGGGCCATAAACAGGAGGTGGAATAGCAGCTCTTGAAAATTGATAACCACCATAATAAGGATCATATGGACCATAGGGACCTGATATTCTTTGGAGATATTGGTGTCGAAGAATTAGTAATTGCAATAGTCTTTCGAAATCTCTTGTTGTTAATGGTCGTTCTGGATATCCGCCATAATACTGATATGGCCCAGGTATTGGCACTGGTCCGCCTCTATAGTAGTATGGTACAGGTGAAGCTTGTGGATAAAATCCTGTCATTTGATCTTGTGGTTGAGCAGGTTGATTTGGCGGTGGACCATTTGGCGGAGGAAGCGGCTGCTGCTGTTGAGGCATTTGCTGAACTGGTGGAGAAGGATAATAAAAATTTTGCGGTCCAGGACCTTGAGGTCTCCGATAATATAAATGTTGAGGCACTTGTCCAACTCCAACTGGATCTGGCTCTCCAACAATTTCCGGTTTTGAAGATACTTGTGTTGTTTCTCTTAGATATTGTTCACTTTCATGTCCACTTTGTGGTAAGGGTATTCGAACAAATTGAGGAGCATTAGGCCTTCCATTGGGTGAACCTTGCACTCGCACAAATTGGGGTGGCCGATGTTCAGATTTCCTTAAAACTCTATTTTCTTGTTCAGAATTTTGGTGGATTAATTTATTCGCTGGAATTTGATCTTGAACAGGACTTTGTGTTAGATATGTATGTTCAGAAGTTGATTGTGTGGTCGGCTCATCTGCAGCATTCGAACTTGTTTTTTCATTTTGCTTAGAGTAAGACTTTTCGGCGTGTGAATTAATAGTACTTTGTATTTGGGAGGCTCTTTGTCTAGCTGCTAATACTAAAGCCGGAATCTTTTGCCCAGAAGATAATCCTGATGGCAAATTTCTAATAGAAGCGCTTGATGGACCATACAAAAGATTTGAGTCAGCATCTTGACTCAATTGTCTTCGTAGTGTGTTACCACGTATAATTAGTTTTTCTTCATCTTTTTCATCCACATCCTCCGTTACCGGTTTAGATGTTGAAATTTCTCGATTAGTTGAAATTTGTACTTGTGATACATGATGATCTATTTCAAGTTTTTCCGGTCTAGATATTTGCTGTTCTGATAATTGTTGTCGTATATTTGTTCCAGGTAAAGGAGTTGGTCTTATGTTAACATAAGACTTACTAGTTGGAACTGAAGTTGCATAAACAACAGTACCAATAGTACTAGAGGGATCATTTCCTTTCGCTTTTGATGCTCCAGTAACAACTGGTGAAGACGAAGGTGAATATTCTTTATAAGGTTTTTCAGATGTACTAGATGAGGTTAATATTCTTAAACGTCTCGGTATTGTTTGTATAACTGTGCCTCGTGTAGATGCTGTTGCAGGCGATGATGATGTAGGATATGATGGTCGTCTTGTAGTTGAACTCAATAAGGTGCGATTGAATTTTGGATTCTCACGGATCTCTTCAGATGATGTCTGTGGATTGTTTTTCAAACCGGTGCCATTATTTGCTGTATATGAAACTCTTTTAATTTCACCATTAGAATCTATATATCCAAAAGTTCCCTTGACATTCCCTAAAACATCGCGGCTCTCAATTTTAAAAGTTCCATCATCGGCTTCATAACCAACAGTATAAGTTCCATCATTATTAACACGTTGAATATGTTTAATTATTTCAGCTTTATTATCTTTCGATTCAGCTTTTTCAAGAACCTCATGCTGTTTTTCATTTTCCTCAGTTGAATCTATTAATTTTTCAGTTGTCTCTATTTTGGCAGTTGTTGCTGTTGTAACAATAACATGAAAACCTAATGTGCATATAATTACCAGAATTATACATCCAGCTGATATCTGCAAAACCAACATAAGCACCTAATATTTATTTTATATTTCAATTAGTTTTGTTAGTTGTCATTTTATTTTCTTTAAAATTAATTACTATTTCTAATATTACAAAATTTAATTAAATTGCTGTTAATAATTATAAAATTCTACAGTTATTATGTAAGTATTTATTAATAAATGTAAGTGCATCTACTGTGTAATTTTGTTAAAAATTTATTAAAATATCAGTAATGCGGTGTCGTTATACGTATTAAAAAATATTTTAATGCGATCACAAATTATTAGTTAGATGTTAGATCAAAATCTACGATTATAAAAATTTTCTTTTATTTGCGTAATGCAAACAAATTTGTGAAGCTCATAAAGATTGTGAGCAATTTTCATTTTTATACTCCCTATGAAAACCTCTTTTAAAATTCCTTGGAAAAACATTTTGAAAGCCTATTATATAAAATTATAAACACACATTGAGAAATCGTAAAATTATTGATTACCATGGAAAACTAATGTGATGGTATAACTAGTGTAGATCTTCCACAAAAAATTTTTTAGGTCCAACGTAATCTTGCTTAATAGGAATTATTCATATAAAAACTCACTTTAAATTTAATACCCTTACTACTACGTTTTGGACTGGTTAATATGGAAGCTCAATTTTTTTAAATTATCCTTGTAAATCCTCATTAATCTTTGAATATTAATCTTCTTTAAATTCTCTATACATACATATTTTTAATAGTTTTAAAATACATATAAATTTCAAATTTTCGTTTTTAAAAAATTTTTAAGGAAAATCAAAAAAAAATTTATTATATAATATAAGACTAGTATAATATGTTTTTGACATCGAAATATTTTGCTTTTGTTTTTCGGTCATTTTCATTGACCGAATTTCTTAAAATTAATTGAGTATAACTTTTGTCCCAAATATGATTTTATTTTTCTTGTGACATATGTGTTGTCACACCATGTCACATCTTATATGCAATATTTTTAATAAACAAATAATTGGATTTAGCTTTCATACGTAAACTAATATATTTACAATATGTGGGGTCCAACATGAACTAAATGAAAATATAAGAGAGCGAAATAATTCAATAAAATAAATTTTTTTCTCAAAATATTTGAATGAATACAGAAATTTTGTACATTTATGATGAAAAACTTCCTTCACATTCATAATTTTGGAATGAAATTTATTTTCAGTCCGTCAGAAATATAATTGGTCAAATTATAAATTAGTTATTTATTTAAGTAATTGAAAATTAAATACTTGCAAGAAAAAATTATCAAATTTTAACCATAATTATTTTTTTTTTCGCATTTTTAACATTATTAGATCATAGTAATTGTGAAAAACAAACAAAAAATAAAAATTTTTGCGTAATTCTATTAAAATTAATTAACTGTGTATTTAATTACTAGCGAGAAACAAGGAAGTGAAATTACAATAAAATTATTTTGACAACTTTTTTTTTTCTTTATCTTTATTTTCATTGGCGTGAATCTAATCGTTGAAATTGTAGACACATTCCAGTTATTCCCAAAGACTTCGCTCTTTAATTATAATCCAAGCACAAGCAAATAAACATTTATAGTGCTCACAATGCTTTATTTATTTTCTATGTAAAAATTATGTCAAATCATTAATGTGTGAAACTCGTATTAGTACAGTACTCATCAAACCAGAACCAAAAATACATAAAATAGCAAAATAAATTATTTTTACATTTTAACTACACCATTATTTGTTTTTTGGATTTTTTCAATTTATATCTTTTAAATTTTCAACAATTTAATTAGAGTTAAACACTAAATTCACATATTATTTTAAAACACCCTCTTTTTATTGTTATACTTAAAATACCAGTTGAATATTTTAAACAAAAATTCCAATAAATTCCAATTTGTACCTTGCGATGTGATTTTCTTAATCCCATAATTCTTATAAAAGAACCATAAAATTTTGTTTTTCTTTTAAGTTTTAAAATTTTAATCCTTTTTTCAAATTTTATAATAGATTTCTATTTATTTCTATTTCACATTTGAATTTCATAAAAAAAAGTTATATTTGACATAAATCCAAAATAATAAAAATAATTTTTATTATAGTTTTTTTTCACTTTTGTTTTTATTTTTTAGTCACGGATAATTTTCTTAAACTATATCCAAAATTTTAACATCGAATAACCGCAAAAATTATTTTTACTAATGCTATATACTAGAATTCCCCCTAATACGCATTATTTGCATCTACTTTACCTTCCAACAGTTTTAGTCTTAAAACTTTTTATAACATTTTTTTTAAAGCATACAGAAAAATACCACTTTACCTTACCACCCACAGAATTTTCTTATATGAAATTTTCTCAGGTTTTTCTTTTGTTCCACTCTTTCTTTTCTGCACTATATACAAAATACATTATTTCCTACTCGTCGCCTAACTAACTAATTAAAGACAAATGAAAAAAAAAAACAATAAAAACGAAATAAAATAAAATCAGTTGTGTGAAAATTTTTTTTCTTTTTAAATGAAAAATCAAGAAAATTTTTAAATCAAAAAATTATTTTTTGGCCTAAAAAATTTTTAACATTGTAAAAATAAAACAAAAAAAAAATTTGATGTAGTCAGCACATAACCGACCAAAATGTGTTACATAATTTTAAGAATGTTCGTAGGCTAGAAAAGAATTTATAGATAGTTCGTAAGCATACTTAGAAAAATGTAAATTTTGCTCTTAGCAGAGTTTCGCTTTGAGGCATTCAAATTTTATAAAAAGTTTGTCAGTTAGTTTCGGTAAAAACTATAACTCATATATTAATTATTAAGGGATTTCGTCAATTAGTTCCGTAGATATGGTAAAAAATATAAAGTAGTAAAAAATATAAGTAGAGCCTAATAGTTTTCCGAGTCTTAATCTTTCCGAAAAAATTACAAGTTTACTGTTTTAATACCCCAAATTTAAATATCAAATTTCAAGTAATTTTATTGATTGATTTGATCGATTATTTCTCTTTATATGCGCAAAAATTAAAAATTGGTCCGCAAAAAGATCAAGTTTCCCAAACTTGAAATATCCCAAAAATTTGTCAATCCGTGACATAATCCGTTACATCCGAAGTAGGATCACATATAATATCAAAATTGGTTTAGCCATACTTGGATAGATACGAGCATACACAGACAAACAGACCTACAGACTAAGAGACAGACAGGCAATACGATATCTGTATAAAAATAGTTCTCTTCTATACCATGGACAAGTGCGTTCCCATCGAAAACACAACATGCGAAATTATTTAAATTTTATATAAAATTAATAATTTAAATTACTTTTATTAAATAAAAGTTATTTGATGCCATCACATAACCTCCCTTATTATATGCAATGCGGTCGATAAAAATCAATTAAAGATATTGTTCACCAAGCCAACTCTATGGTACTCGAACGAATATTATGAAGTTTTAATACTTTTCAAGTTATAACTAAAAACATTTTCAAGTACCATGGCAACTGCTTTAGAAATTTGCATAATTGCATATTGTACCACATATTGTTGGACTTGCTGCAGTTCCATATAATGAAACTCGTTGACATATAAAATTTTCTTGACATGTGTAACATTCGAATTTTGGTGATTAAATAAAGTTTTGAATTAAAGTGTCATAATTATTCGCACAGCCGCTTAGGTAGAAATTTAATGAGATTCATGCAATTTCATTTGATAAGTTTTTCACTTTTCGTTTGATAAGTTTTCATTTGATAAGTTTTTCAGTTTTCGTTATAGCGTACAAAGAGGAATCATAAACACGCTAATCCGTTGCAGAATTTGCTATATGTATTATATCTCGAACGTCTTTTTGTTAGTATTACAAATGAAGCGGTAGCTTTACAATAAACTTCGAAGTGCGCCTTCTTCAGTAGCTTTAAGAAGTATACAGATAGGTGAAGTGATTGAAAACCAAAGTGTTAAATTTTATGTCGTATTCCCTTATAATGAAAATTTTCAAAATATTCTCATTTGTTTTTCACTTCTGTTTTTTTTTCTAATATTTCTAATGTGTATGACAATAGATAGCATACTTTTCAACTTTATGTTGATTTACTTTTACGAATATAGTACTTAATAATATAGTGTTAGTTTAGCGTATAAAAATAGTAAAAAGAAAAAAAAAAACAACTGTTCACAGAAACGACCTTGCCATAAATAATAATATAAAATAAAAATTTTATGATAGGTGGAAGTAGTAAAATGAAATATCAGGTGCATTTATTTAAAAATTTTTATGCCACCACAAGGTACCTTAAGTTAAGACACTATCATATTGAAATTCAAATAACATAGCTACTTATATTAGTTAATAATTTGAATATGAAATTATTGACAATAAAAAAGATTTAATCCGTAAATTAAATTACCAATATTTTATATAGTTACTAAGTTCAATTGTCAGAACCAGAATAAATAACCATAATTAAGAATGAATTCGTGGCAATCAAGTAAATTTCTTTAAATCAATTATATTAGCTTCGAGTGGAAAAATTTCCAAAATTTTAAAATAAATTTTTTCAAAAACTTTAAGCGTGACTACAATTCCAGTTATCAGAATTTTTATAAAAATTACTTAATTTATAGATTCACATAATTTCTTAACGAACATTTCATTCAACTAAATCTGATCGAAATGCATCACAACAAAATTAATTAAAATTTTTTGACCTATAAAGTTCAACAAAAATTGGATCGATGAGCTGATTATCAATGTGATCTGGGATGGGATAACCAAATTAGTGTGATCATTCTTCTCTACTGTATAAAATATATTTCCGATATTTAGACCGTAAAATTAAAATTTCAATTAATTTTAATAAGTTAGATTAAAATGTAGCTCCCCTAAAATTTGGTTCCAATTTTCCTATAATACCGAATAATAAATCACAAGTTTTATGTTAAGCAAATTCGCCTTCATTACTCGGCAGTAGCCATTCCTACAAAGTGCTGCATTATAAAATAATAGACATAGTATGTTAATGTTATATAACCATTCGTATATGATATTACATAATTCACTTAATATTTAAACTTTACATAATTTAATTTTAACTAAGAAATTTTATTTTTCAAAATTTACTTAATTAAAATCCCGTAAAAATTATTAAAGTGATTAAGACTAAAAAACTTATAAACTCTTTGAAATTTTAATAAAATTCTTAATTATTTTTCTTGGTCTCCTTTATTTCTTTATAATAGAATCATTAACTAATTTTTATTTCATTTGATTTTATATTTTCATCACAATAATGCATGATTAACCTTATAAAAGGTCATAATTACTTGTGGGAAAATCAGAAACACAAAGCTCTATTTAAAAGCCAAACTGCTTATCATTGTATGCTGAGTTTTTATGACAAGTTCTTTATTGAAATTTAATGTATATATGAATGAATATAACAAACTATTATTGAAAGTATTTGAAAATTTTAAAAATACTAATAAGTTTGAATAATTTTTTAAAAATTAAAGTAACTGTTAAAAGAAGTTTCTTATATTAAGTGTATTTAAATGAAGGAGGAAAAGTTTAGGCATCAAAAATTATTGAAATTGAAAATTGATCTAAGATATAATGTTAAAATCGCAAGTTGATAATATGAGACGATCATTATTTATTTTTCGAAAACGCAGTATACCTGTATAACATCTTTAAGCTATGAATTTAATGACTGTATGATTCCGCAGTTGACATCGTCAAAATTGCTGGTCACTAATATATTATAATATATTTAATTTCTAATAAAAATAGAACAGATTTCATGGGCCAATTAAAAATCTATTAAACTTTAAAGGTAATCGCTCACAAATGATTATACTTAAACTGTATTAAATACTTTGTCATTTATTGTTAACGAAAAGTCTAGTAAACGCACTGTTGGCTATGTCATGTGTTGGCTTATATACACAAAATTTACCACCCTATGAAATTCCGAGGAATGCATGTTTATTTACAGTATTCTATTTTTAAAGGTCCCATATTATGACCTTACCAAATACACGTTCAGATAATTTTGCATATAGCATTATAAAAAGAGTGGCAACTGTACAATACCATACAAATTTGTTGAATGAACTTAAAAAAAAAGTTTTCAACTAAAAATTTCTTTGTTGTTCTCTTACTCTTAGTTTATCAAAGATGAATTATTAAAAAAAAATGTTCGTTTATGCGTAATTTTGAACAATTTAAATTTTTTTAAAAAATTTTCAACAATAACTCAAATATATTTAATTAGAAATAAGAAAAAGAGTAGTGACAGGCCACAAACAATTCACTTTTTGTTTTTTTTTTTATTTTTGGGGAAATTCCCACAATAATTTTATTTCAATTTCTTATAAAATTCAAGTTCAATTTTTATTTTATTTTTTGTCGTTTTCTTTCTTTTTTTTTGTTTTGATTTTTTTATTAAATTATTTTATCTAATTTACTTTATAAGAAAAATTGCATATATTACGGCGCATCTTGTATTTTTAAATTCACAAAAGTAAAACTTAAATACTACAGGGTGAGATCAGCCATCTTTGCCTGAAACAAGACGAAACGGTACAATATTTGTTGTATGAATGGCTCACCTACGGCTGAGATGCTTCAGAAGGGGTTTTGTGACCCCGATATAGGTCTCGCAGCTTGAGATGGTTTGCAGTTTGTTGGGGGCGTGGATATAATTCTAATTTATACGAGGGTGACAATCATAAAATATCTTATAGGTTAACATGAGAATGGTCTAGAAGCTCCGGCCCCACGAAAAAAAAAAAAAATGTTTAACACAAAAATAAAACACAAGAGTAACAATATTTCTTGTTTCAATATCAGTCAAAGACCAACCTAAGAAAATATTTACAGAAAATTTGATTAGCTTGAGGTCGGTATAAAGCTTTTCAATACTCCTTATCAGAATACGTATTGCGATAGGAGTGAGCCGATTAATAGGGTGTTGTGTGTCTCAACTCTAATTCTAGTTGTTTTGATGTTAGTATCAGTAAGGGCGCTTTTAGGACTGTACTTTTCGATGATTTAAATTATTTTTATATAAAAATGATGGCATTTTTGCTTAGCACTCAGATAGTTGCATATTTTTTTCATCTAAATGATGGTTTAGCTCTTTCGTGCAATGCTAGTTTGCACGATAGCAATGACTTGTAATAAGAGTTCGTTATAATGCAAAAAATTAAAACCAAATACCAATATATTTAATTGCTGCAATTAAAATTCCATATTAAAACTTTATTAAATTTTATATTCCAAATATGAACTTAACCTTTTAAAAAAAAAAAGCAAAAATACATTTCATTTATAATTCAAAAGAAAATTTTTAACAATATTACAAGGACATTTTATGTTCTTGCAATGTGTTATACACGTGTGTTATTAACAGGCACTCAACTTATGAAGAATATATTAATAAACACCTTATTTCTTTAAAAAATGTTTATATGAGTAATTTTTAAAATGAAAATAATAGCATACAATAGTACTAAAAGAAAAATATACCATAAGCAAGAAATTAAAATGATTTTTAAAGCAATCACACAGTTATGAAGGCTAAAAAAAAAATAATTTTTGAGGTCTTAAAACAAATAATTATAAAAATAATATTTTTATATATTTTATTCTTTCAAAATTATATTATTAAAAAATATGAAACGTTGTGCTTTCAAGAAATCATGTATAGCAAAACAAAAAAATCAAAAACGAAAATATTCTTTGAAATGTTAAGGAGGCCATTAATAACTTTTAATAATTTCCTCGTTATTTTTTTTTTATTTTCATTTTCTTTTTGAATAACCTGTGTACATATCCTTGGGTAAGGAAGTCGATTAAAAAACTATTTATTTTTCAAAGAATTTTTTTTTCTTTTAAACTTTTCGGAAATATTCATTTTTTTTATTTGAACTAAAAAATTATTCTTTGTTTTTTTGTAAAATCTGTGAAATTAAATAGAAATTTTAAATACAAAATATAATTTTTAACTTTGTAATATTTTTGCCATCTTTTTTAAGTTTCTTTAATAAAACTTCAACTAAATACGTGATCATACATCTCACACTTTTTTTATTATCTATAACATATGGAAAGGAAAAATTTTTTCGGAATTGAATTAATTATATTCGAATTCAAAATAATTTTGACAACTAAAGTTATAATGTTTTAACTGATATATTGAATTTCATGAAGCGTAATACAGTATGAAACTTTAAATTAACACTCACAATTTCCCTTTGAGAAAAAAATGGGCAATAGCTAACGATATTTTCCTCTTACCCCACTTTTTAGCAAAATATCAACTTTTGATTAATATGCTGATTAAAATATCCCGCCATAATGAAATATATTAATATACTTATTGAAATTAGTCGATTAAGTTGTCGAATTCCATCATTATTCCCTTGATTGTTTTCCTTCTAAAAAAAATTTTGGGAAACTTTGAGCTTTTTACAAAAATTTCAGAAAAAAAAAACAAAAGTTCTGAGTTTGAGGAGTTTTATTTCGAAAACAGTGGCTCAAATCTAAGTAGCTGTAGCTGTAGCGATTTTAGAACCGAAGATAGAGAGCAATCAATTATCTGTTAAATTAGCCCTCGATGATTATTCCATATCGTATGGTTCCGAAGTTATAAGCATTTATTTATATGCAAGGAAAATCTAGAATCTTTTTTTTCAAAATCTTTATCTTTTTTCCTCCAATACAATTTTTGGCTGCTAATTAATCAAAGAATCATCCTTGAATTTTTTCGCCATCTTATACGAAACACCCAGTGTAATCCAAAGTATTTATATTTTTTGAATTGTTAAGAACTGCAAACCTGAACTCAATCTAATTCTAGAGAATGAACTAGACTATAATAAATGAAAATAAATAAAAACAAATATGATCCATAAATAAAACTTATGTTTACTTTCTATTCGGTGAATTAGAAAAAAATTTCGGAATACATAAAGTTTCCTGAAAAAAAATTTCCAATTTTTGAAATATAATTTGGGTTAAGTTCAGCTTTTTAATAAACAGATCTTACTTAATAAACAATTCATTTTCTGTTGACTCACTCTTTACTTCATCTATTCAATTCATTTCAAATGTACACAAAAATGTAATAATTTTTAGATATTTAAGTTTAATCAACTGTTTTAAAGAGTGCATTTTGAATTTATCATTTCGTTAACAAAAATATACACATATACGCTAAAAACGCACAGCTTACTATTTATAAATTACCTATTATAAGCATATTTTTTATAAATTATTTCAAATATTACATAACAACATTATAAAACAATTAAAAATGTTAAATAAAATTTTATTAATTAGTTTTGCAATAATTTACATTTCAAATGGATCTGCAATTTCAAGTACGGTACTGCAAACACCAGAAATACAAGTGGCACCATCAACATTTAGTACAATAATAAACACAAAAATTAGTATATCATCACTTATAACAACATCAATAAATGATATTTTTACAAATTTAACAAATCTAATTGAAAATATGATTACGACATTGGCATTACAGAAAATCTCAACAATACAAAGTATAACATCAGCCACTTACATTCAAAAACAAAATATCACAATTGCATTTGCAAATAGTTTATCAACACTGTGTGAATCATTAAATTCAACAAAAATTTTATTAACTGAAGCTTTAAATAGTAAAGAATTGGAAATGGAGAATATTAACAAACTTAATTCATTACTAGCCATTACAACGAACCTTCTTGATAGATCAACAATAATAAAAGAATCTTTAAAGAATAACAATAATTCTGATAAATTTACAAGTACAGGTTCTTTACTAAATGTAAGTGAAAAGTTTTTAAATGCAATTTTTGGAAAAACTAATATAAATTTGGAAACAATTTCGCCGTCATATAATTTCGACAATATTTTGTCAATAGCACCATTATTCGAATTTTTTAATCGAGCACATAAAACGATTTCTGGTTAAAGTATACAAATAAATTTTGTTTTAATGTTGCAAAGAGATCAATTTTAAAAATTTTTTTTATTTTAATTATATAGAAAAGAAAATTAATTAATAAAGAAAATTTATTATGTAAAATTCCATGATTTTCATTTAAGATCACAGTGGAATTACCGGAATGGTAAGGCAAATAATTATTTAGTTCAATGATGAAGGGTTATAAATTCACACAATAATTAGCATTTAATATTTAATAGCGAAAAAATATTATTAAATTTTACATTTTACATTATAGGAGGGCTAAACCATATTATTTTGCTTAATTTAATTTAGCGTAGAAAATTCTATGCCAGAAAACATTCATTATTAAAAAAACGCTTATATGTCAACAAGGCATAAGTAAAACGCATATTAAATTTAAAGAATCTCTGTGCATGTTGTCCAAATGATAATTTGAGAATGATAGAAACTAAAGAATTGAAATTTCTCACAAAGGTTTGACTTGCTATACAAATATAGGCCAGGGACAGCATTGAAAAACAACGCAACACAGAACTATAAATACAGGTGCCCATGTTTTAATTTACATAATATCTCTAAAGAGTTCTTCTGTATCGAGAAATGATTTCAATTAATAAAGAAAATTTTTTAAGTATCACAATATTAGATTTAAATTCAAGCTATACTTAAAGTGAGTTCCCATATCCGGATCTATCAATGCCAAAATATTCTAAAAACATATTTGTTAACATAACCTAGACCTAATTTTGACCTTTATTACCTTATGCTATTAAGAATTATTATTAAAATATTAAAGCTTCCGTAAAATATGAAAATTCATTTCCTATAGTTCGTGATTCCGATGTCAAATTTTTAATCACATATTTTTTTATATCATATTTAAAAATATTATTTGTTTACGATGCAAAATTCATTCTGTTTACATAATTGTTTTTTTGGAAGATCCAAAATCTGTATATAAACCAGAACAAATCCTTTTAATGAATCAGAATTAGTATCGCAATTTAAATAGCAACAATAAAAAAATATATTTTAATATTCTTGAAGATTAACTAAAATTTAGGAAAATGTTTAAATTTATCGTAATAGTTCTGTTCGCAGCATTGTTATTTTCAAAAATTGAATGTGGTGCGATTGAAGAACGTGATCTACCAACTATTGAAAACGCCGAATATGAAGAAATACAAAGGGAATTAGCAAGTAAACCACGTTTCTTATTAGCTGCGATTTTAGCGGCAAAATTAGCATTTCTTAATTCACTTACATCTACAACACCTGCTCCTACTGTAGCAACACCTACGCCAACACCAACACCTACGCCAACACCGACGCCAACTCCTACGCCAACCCCAACTCCAACACCAAACGGAGGTTAAATGAATGTGGAGTCAAATGGAGAAAATTAAAATGAATTTTGAACATATTTTAAATATAATACAGAAAAATAAAAACTTTTAATTAAAGTATAAGGGTTGTTGTTTTTATCTAATTTTTTTATCTTTTCACATCTCCATGATGATCACAAAATGAGTAAAAACTGCGTTTGTTGTCAGTACATTGCAAAGCTACTTGTGGTTTTGAGTAATCTAACGCAGAAATCGAAAAGCTCATTTGAATTTTAACTATAATAAAATTAAAATGGGTCCGTTTTGAACTCAATTCATACGAAAAATTTACAAAATATGAAAATGTCCATGTTAAGAAGGCAATTAACAGGACAAGGATCCCAAAACGAAATTATATAGTAACACACATATATGATTTTATTTTTCTCAAGCAAGTTGGTCAGATAAAAATATTAATTGCATAATATTGAAATTTAATACCATTCAGTTTTACCATTTGATATTATGAACTATCCTTAAATATGCCATAACTTCGAATTATAACAGGTCTTTGCGCGATTTCCGATTCAAGGTTTCAAAGATTGTTTGTTTATATCTACATTATGTAATTACAATGTAAGTAAAATTATAGAAGTACAAACCATATTGTATGCATTCCTATTGAAAATGTCTCTTTACATAAAAACCTCTTTTCCATCGTCCTAATAATCAAACCCTAATTATTACACAAATTAATTTTCAATATAAAACTTTTATAAAGAAGACGCTCGAGCTGCGCATTTGCATTTTAGTTCTAAAAACGATTAATTTTTTTGTTTAATCAGTCAGTTTTCTCTTTACATTTAACCATTAAAAATTTAATCGTCAATTGGATCAAGGGTATGATGTAACAAAAAAAAACAAACAATTGCTACAAAACATTTGTTTAAATTAATTTCTTTTTTCAAATTCAAGTTCACTTTTAATGCAGAGTATTTACTTTTGGAATGTAGTTGAATTATTCAAAGTTAAAGTTTTTTTTCGGTATATAAAGACGAAAATTTCTTTAATTCAACATCAAAATATCTCAATCAATCAAGCAATTAATAATTAAAAATGTACAAATTATTATTAACAACAATATTTTTGCTTATTGCTTTGTCATTTGTGGGAAGCAAACCAACTAAAGAACATTTTACACCAGAAAACATTATCAATTTGGAAACTGAAGATGATGTACGATTATTGGTTGGATCAGGAATTCCAACATTGATAGCTTCATACTTAACTCAAAAGCTTAATTTGGTTAATGCATTCACAACAGTAGCACCGACTAATTCACTTACACCAACGCCAACACCAACGCCCACGCCCACGCCAACGCCAACACCTACGCCAACACCAACACCTACGCCAACACCTACACCTACACCAACACCCACACCTACACCAACACCTACGCCTACTCCAACGCCAACACCAACTCCGACCCCAACTCCTACACCAACACCAACTCCAACACCAACCCCAGACGGTGGTTAATTTAATAGCAATATCGTTTCACTAAATTTTCATAAAAATTTTAATTAATTAATATTAATAAAAAATATTTTACGTACATTAAAATATAATAGTTACTTTTAATATAGCGTTCAATCTTGCATACTCCTTGCGTGTTTACTAGAAATTTATAATTGTACTTACTAGAAAATATCTGTTATTTTCATACTACCAGTACCATGTCATATCATGCTTCAGTTCTAACCTTTCAGCTAAGATTTTACCAGCAGCGTGCTAGTTTAATAAGAAATATCAGTAAAGAATTTTTGAAAATTATATTAGAAATATGAAGCCGAATTCCTTTAAGGTAATTGGAAAATGAATGACTAAAACTAAATTTTCTACCACATTATAGTTTTAGTAATGCCACGCCAGAGTTTTTCTCAATTTTTAATATCAGAGTTTTTTCGTACTTAGAATGTTGTCAACTCTCATCAATAAAGTAGAATTTTCAAAAACATTTGCACAAACTTGAGTTAGTTATAGTAGTACTTTATTCTCCTTTTTGTACATTATAATTATTTATAATGTACAAAAAAAATAAATTACAGGTATTAATATAATTATATATTAATAATTATATTAATATCTGTAATTTGCGCGTAGACCCTCCCCTTATAAAATATATTGTTAACAATTTATAGTAATACAGATGCCTAATCGGAATCTAAAATGATGAACAATGCCTTTATTTATTAAAGGTTTTCACAAAACTCATGTTAACAAAAAAGTCATTCACTAACACAATTTCTTCGTTATTTTCATTCATTACTACAATATAACTTAAATATTTTTCACAAATAATTAATTCAACAGAGCCATCTACTGAAGATCTTACGCTTTAACTTTATCTTATTTAACGTTATAAATTTTTTATATTAAAAATAATTAAAACAAAATAAATTTCGTAGTTTTTATTTATTAATTAAATAGCGGAAGCAGCGGAAGTTAAATGAATTAGATTATTATATATCATAACGGAAGTTCGGGAAAAATGATAACTAAATTTAAAATTACAAAAATAGTAAGCAGACATGTACTTTCTATTCAATACCACAACACTATTCAATATCACAACCTTCTGGAAAGCTTTTATCCGAGACACATTTTGAATAATACTAGAAACTTTTTCTCATTAATAATTTTATAAATAGCTATCCAATATTTTTTATTAAAAATTTTATTATAGACAACAACCATAAATTTCTCTGCAAAATTTTATATCAAATAAACGTTTTCGAAAATGAACACTTTAAAAAGAATTTCTTTTATGAAACCAAAATTTTCAATGGTTTATCGTAAATATTTTCCATGATTGATAGTGAAAAATGGTGTACGTTGGCAATAGCAAGCAAAATTAACATGTTATGAGTTTGATGAACGCTTAAATATGATAAGATTAGAACAATGTTTACGGTTTTTATTACCTACCTCCTTCTACTTAATCATTTTAGTGCAGTATTTTTATTTTTACAGGTTTTTAAAGCTGTAAAAAAAAATTCTTTTGTCAAACTAAATATTTCAATTTTTACTATTCGCATAGTACTATAAAGCTAAATTTATTTTTTTACTAATAAGATTTTTTAGGATAAACAAGTAGAAAAATGTTAAAGCGAAGACTATACAATATTTATTTATTTTTATTTCTTGTTGTTGTAAAAATAATATTTAATATTTGTAAACAGATTTCCTTTGTACTTTATTTTTAATAAAAAGACAGAACAATGTATCTTTAATAAAAAAAGGGCAATATAAAAAAGAAGAATGAAAACCGAGGGTAATATAGAATTGACCGTGTCATCACAAGATTTGTAGCGTTTGTTAGATCTAATAACGTGGTCATAAGTGGCATTTTAGTACAAAATTCAGCTACTTTCTTCTCTAGCTTTTTGGAAGAAAAAATTTTAAGAGCTGAAATCATATAATGAAAGTAAACTCCCATGAAAATGAATTTTGAGGAGTGTATTTATGAGTGAGTGTGCGTACCCTCGCTCATTAGTACCTTTTCCTGGCTACTCTGCTTACAATTTTTACTTTTGTAATAATTTTTTAATTTTATATAACTCCAATTATATTTGAAGTATAAAAAATTTAACTTAAATGCCTTAAATAAGAAGGTGGACCAATTATTTTCCTATTGGACAGAACTCATACATTCAATTTATAAAATATTCGTGAATTTTCACATGCACACGTTTGTCGAATTGCTATTATATACATGGAGCTATAATATTTACACCAAACTAACTTATTTTGCAGCGTGTTAGCATTATCAAGAGATTAAGAAATTTGTAACACCGTAACAGAATGCGGATAACAAAACAAAAATAGGGTATAGGATAAAAGTAGAATTTAGATAGAAGAAAATTTTATCGTGCATTGTCCTTTTTTTTCTCATTATATTGAGAACCTCCTTCTAAAAGTATAAAGAAAAATCTATATAAATCCCATTTCCTATTTTTTTTTTTTTTTTTTGTGAAGTTGGTCATTTATTTGTTTTTATGATTACTACTTGAGGAGTACCTTCGGGATAAATAAAACTTTTCATGATCTCATCAATGTTTTACTATAGAATTTCCTTGTGAAAATTTTTTCAGTTTTTAATTAACATTTTAAAATTTTAGTTTTATACAAAAAAAAAAAAATGAAGAAAAAATGTTAATATAAACTCTGTCAGAAAACAAGGAAAAGTAATCAAATTTATAAGAAGTTTACAGGAAATATTTAAGCAAATTTAAAAGTAATTTGATCTTTAAAATTAAGATAATGGCAATAATAATATTCGTTATGGTTTTCCTTTTCAACAACCTCACAACACCAAAAATTCTTACCTTGAAACGAGATTATGTGAAAGAAAATTTTAAGTACGATTCCTTAAAAATTCGTGTGCTGTAAGAACAGGATATTTGTTTGAAAAATTGAAATTTTAAAATGTTCTTTGCTCTTACTATCTTAGAAATAGAAAATTGTTGAATGCGCATATTTCCAAGAAATAAAAAAATTCTTTTGAGGATTTGAAGTAAGCGTTATGCTTTATGACCTTTGCTAGGTAATATGTACGAGTAGGCACCAATTTTAAATTATCAAAAGGTTGTAAATTATACGATTCATTTCTTGAATAATTAAAATAACAGAATTTTTAACATTATTTTTAATTTGAATTTTTAACAGAATAAGTTATTAATATTTTCTTTGTGTTGTTTAATTTAATTTTTAAAACCAATATTCGAATTTCCAATATGAATGCTTAAAATTGGTAGAATATGTTATTTAAAACAAGTAAAAACGTTTCAATCGGTATAAACCGATTGAATTATACCCTGCACCTTTCGTTATTGTATAGCAATTACTCGAACCTGTGAAACCATTCTATAGAAACCTCACGGACATGTCTGACCTATAATTGGACATCCGACTGCCAAATTTCATGAATCTGACTTTATTATTTTTCCAAATATTTAAAGTAAGCTTTTAGACTTGTATGGGGGCTACTCGAACCTGTCAAGTAATTGCATCAAAACTTCACAAATATATCTGATCTATAATCGGACACACAACTGCCAAGTTTCATGAATCTGACTTTATTATTTTTCCAAATATTAAGAATAAGCTTTTAGACTTGTAGGAGAGCTACTCGAACCTGTCAAGCAATCCCACCAAAACTTTAGAAATATGTTTGACCTATAATTGGACACACGACTGCCAAGTCTCATGAATTTGACTTTATTATTTTTCCAAATATTAAGAATAAGCTTTTAGACTTGTATGGGAGCTACTCGAACCTGTCAAGCAATCCCACCAAAACTTTAGAAATATGTTTGACCTATAATTGGACACACGACTGCCAAGTCTCATGAATTTGACTTTATTATTTTTCCAAATATTTAAAATAAGCTTTTAGACTTGTATGGGAGCTACTCGAACCTGTCAAGCAATTCCACCAAAACTTCAGAAATATATTTGACCCGTAATTGGACACATGACTGCCAAGTTTCATGAATCTGACTTTATTATTTTACCAAATATTTAAAATTAGCTTCTGGAGTTGTATGGCAGGTACCCGAACCTGTCAAGCAATTCTTCTAAAACTTCAGAAATATATTTGACCTATAATTGGACACATGACTGCCAAGTTTCATGAATCTGACTTTATTATTTTGCCGAATATAAAAAATTTGCCGTTGGAGTTGTATGGCAGCCACCCGAACCGGTGCAGCTATCCCATTATAATTTTTAAAGCATGTGTAGAATATAATTGGACACACGTATACAAAATTTTATATTTATAGCTTTATTAGTTTTTGAAATATTTAAAATAAACTCTTGGAGTTGTATGGCAGCTACCCGAACCCGTTGTCCGACTTAGTCCAATAACAATAGGGTTCGTCCTTGGCACAAAAGAAAAAACTTGTGAAAGTTTGGTGTCGATTGCATTATTCGTTTTTGAGTTATCGTGCGATCGGACGGACGGACGGACGGACGGACGGACGGACGGACGGACGGACGGACGGACGGACGGACGGACGGACGGACATGTCTAAATCGACGCAGAATTTTACGCTGAGCAAGAATATATATATATGTCCATACCGCAGATGACTCCTTCAAGTAGTTACAAACTCCATACCAAAGTTAATATACCCTTCACGAAGTGCAGGGTATAAAAATGTTTGCTATATAGCAGTAGTAGCTGTAGATAATCTTTTAGTATGTACATACTTACTATTTTTACAATAGTTTCCTTAATCGGAAAAATTCAAATTAGAACCGGACTTATTCTACTCATTTTACGTTATATTCACTTACTCTTAACAAGAAATTAAAAATTTTTAACTTTGAATTTACCTATACTAATTTTTCTTTTTAAGGTTTATCATGTTTCTACTCATTCTTTGACTACGCTTAGAAAAAATTCAATTAAGTTTTTATAAATGTTAAAGTAAACGTTTTACTTTCTCTTTTATCCCTTATAATATTAATAA